TTTTATATTTTGTTCATTTAATTAGATTATATTTCAAGTCAAAGAAATAGTTATATTTTTACTTGTAATCAGATTAGAATATTGTGGTAGATTATGGGGTGTTTGCTATTTTTCCTTAAAAATCTATTTCTACTTAAGGCCTATTAAAATAAGTAAACATTAATTTACTCAGACGATTGCAGCTCCAAGATATTCTTAATTGAAATCAAGGAAAACTAGTCTAATAATTGTTTTAATTATAAAATAAATTTATTTTAAAATTTTTCATTTTTTTATTTGAATTATAAGGTTTGAAAATTTAATTGAGCCATCAACTTTAGATTTATTGAAACACTAATTAGATTTAGTGGTAAAATTTTTAATAATATTGGGCTTTTTTTTTCAAAGAATTTTAAAAAAATACTAAGCATTTCTGTTGTCTAAGATTCTTTTAGATAGCCTAATAACAATATAAAATTATTTTAGATGAAGAAGTAGATATAAATAATCTTGAAATTTAAAGAAATTTCCAACTAAGTTTATTCAAATACATAGGGTTTTCTTATCTGCAAACTGTTATTGTGCTTATTACAGCAATCATAATTATATTGAATAAATGTAAAATGTCAAAAAGATAATAATGAAATTATAACAATCTCCTACAAATTACAATTATAAGATGCTTTAAGATAAAAGAGAAAAGTTATTATACTAATTAATTGATTGCTTTAATTAATAATTTATTATTAAACATTTTCTTAATCATTAAATTATTATTTAAGTTATTTTTTAAAAGTAAGGATTATTTTGTTTAGCCGGAAGATGATCCTTCTAGATCATGCTTATCACATAGATTACCGAAATTAATCTGAAAATATTAAATTTTATAAAACACACCTATTTGAAGCAGTATACTTGTATACTTACAGAAATTATGATATGGAAAATAGCCTTTTCTAAATTTAGAGCTGACATTTTCTTTGTCTAATACAATCGAATCAGCTTTCAAGACATTTCAAAAAATTAAATAAAATTTAAATTTATATAATAAATTATTATTCAATCATTAAATAAACTATTCGTGTTTCTTGACTGATCTAATATTCCAAATAAATTTCATTCTCCTTTATTAATTTATTTAACTTTTTGAATACTACTCTTCTGTTATTTATTGATTTCAAGGTTTCTTCATTTATTATCTTCAGTTTTTCATACTTTATTAATATAAAATAAATTCAAAATAAATCAATTTAAAATAATCTCTTTTTATGTAAGATTATATAAAAATAGAAAAATGATATAAAAACTTGTCTATTATTAAAAAAGTTAATAAATGAATGAAAAATATTTTTATGATATATGTCACAAATCTATTTTTAATATTTTTTCTTTTTCATTAGCAACATATGTACTATTTTATATAAATGTGTAATCTGGTTAAAAAGCAAAAAATTCTATTGTATTATTTTTACCATATGATCTTAATACCCAAAAATGATCACTATTATTTGTGATTACCGTTTCAAAGATACAATTTGTATATTAAATTTGTTGTTAAACTTATAAATTTCTTAATATTATATTTAAATTTTAATTTTTAAAAATCTAATATATTTAAAATTAAATAATCATTCTATATTTTCAAATAGTTTTAGCTTCATCTATGCAATTCTCATTTCTTATTCCCATAGAACCATCACCAAAATAAACAGTTCCATTTTCAGATTTTGTATTATTTTTTAAAGGAAAAGTTCTTTTATATTAATGAACATGATTTTCAAAAGCTCCAACAAACTCATACTTATCAAATAAAGGAACCCAAAAAGTTCTTGCTTGTATTAAATTATCCCAAAAATCCAAAAAAGAATTATTATAATAGCATGTAGTATAAATTTCCATTATGAGGATATAAATAGCCTGAATCTAAACCAAATAGCAGAATATTTTGCATTTTTTAAATATTATAAGTAACTCTATTGTTAATTGGTAGA